GCAAAGCTCTTTTCAGATTCAAAATATCTTTGAGGAAATGTATTTTCAGATGCCAAGTAAACTGCATCATGTCGCACGCGCGAACGCACTGAAATGGGTGGGACAGAAGCGGAAGGTGGTTGTTAAAGAGACAGAGGCCAATTCAAGTCAAGGTGTTTAGAAGAGGAAGTGATGAGAAGATAAGTTTATTTTCTACATAGATACTTTATTATGGTATAGTATTTAAATATATGCCTGAAAAACACATCATGTTGTCCCTTTAAAGGAAAACAACATGAACTAAACAATCAAGTTTGCAGATAGTTTTAAGAAATCTGAGTTTCAGGTGTTAATTTAATGACATTTTCCACATGCGACTTTATTATGATTTTTCTTTCTAATCCACACTTCCTACGTGCAGCTAATGTGTTTCACCAAAATTTCACATACATGTGCTTCCCTGCTATCCCATTATCACAAGAAACTGTTAAACATGTTCTGAAACCACATTTTCCATCTGCAAAAAAAGTGTACTCTAGTTCACATGTTCATTTGACATGTGAAAACATGATTTTTTTATGTGAAACTCGAGCACCTTTTCCACATGCAAAATGGGGTTCGTATTAAGTTTGCATCACGTGTTAATTTAACGTTTTCTCATGTGAAATTAGCATTAAAGTGTTTTTTCTTTTCGAAATCACAACAATCCAGTGTCACACATGTCACATGTGATCACATGAATGTGTGTGTCCAAAACCATGTTTTCCATGTGGAGAACTGTTTTCATTCATTCATTTAATTAGTAAAAAACATGATTTTCCATTTGAGGCTTGAAATATTTTTGAAACCACATTTCCCAAGTGCAACCCATGTTTCACGTCATATTAAAATGTTGCGGATGTTATCAAATATTTTGTGTGAAAAACATGGAATCACGTTAATTTGACATGAGCTAAATAGGATTTTCCACATGAAACATTTTCTATAAGCAACATATACAGTATTTCACCTGCCCTACAAGTTAATYTGTGTAATACGTGTAAAGTTAATTTAGTTTTGAATCAATCTGAAGCTGAAACTTACAGAAGCTGAGGTCATGGGACAGAAGAGAGCAAAGCTCACTAATTGGCCAATAAGGACGGAGATGTAAAGATTTATTAAACAAAATTTGTATAAATGATCATAACAGCGTTTAGACTGGAGTTATTTAAAAATTACAGACAAGATGCAGTTTGTCAGAACTGTCAGAATTAAGAGGTATCAACAACAGGTAAGATATTAATTGTTCCCCATTTCAACAGAGCTTAACTTAACTTTATCACTTTAACACCTATCAGCTGGATTACATGTGCTTTATTTTTGTAATTTATTCATTTCATATAAGATGTATTGGTTAAATAATGAGCAAATCAAACATAATCACATCTTCAAAACAGTGCATTTAGAGCCAGAGTCTAGAAATTCTAACCRTTGCATTTGTCAACACACTGTACCAAAGACATGTTTTCTGCTGTTGCAGCAACCTGCGTATTGTTATGTTTATTAAAATATCTATGCATACAAATAACAGCCTGCAGAGGCAAACATGATGCTGTAAACAGAAAACATCAATTACACGAGGCAGGCCATTTTGAAATCTTGTTTAAACTTCAATCCAAACCTAGGACGCTGGCGCAAACATATTTACACAGATTTCTTTTTTTTCATGCGCCTACTCACATCCCGAGGCCACCAGACTGACAATAATGGAGGTGGAGGTTGAAGAGCTCTGGACCAGCACGGTCACTAAGATCCCTACCACAAGGCCCGCCACGGGGTTGGACAGCACAGCGTTGTCCTGGAAGATGTCCCCTGCCACTTTCCCTGGTTTCAAATGCACAAACACACACACACACACACACGTGCAGGAAATAAGAAACGTTTCGGAGACAGTGAGGATGTAAGCAGCATAATAAATAAAACTCAAAGCAAGTAAAGAGTTGCAAACTTTGCAGTAAATTTTACACTGAAATCCAAACTGTTCCTCTCTCACTTTTATTTATTTCTTTGTTTTTTGAGAATTATAATCTAAATGAGTCACGATCGACCTTCCGAGGAGACAGCGAAAGTGTTACTTACCCCCCGCTAACTGGAAGGCAGAGCTCAGAGTGTCCAAAGAGCAAATGAAGAAGAAGAGGAGGATGAAAAGAAGAGGGATCTTTGATAGACCGATGAGGAGCTGCTTGAGCCTTTCTAGACCCACCGCTGAGGTGTGAGGAGAGCTTCCTGTTGGAAACAAAAACCAGAGAGATGAATTGGATTAACAGAAATGGCCCAATGCTGGCCCATTTTCCCCACAAAGCAGAAACATTTGCTCTGTTTTAAGGTACTGGATTTGTTTTGGATTTTTTCTAGTCTGTGATATCTGCTTTCTGGAGATGAAAGATGTCCTCGTTTAGCTCTCAGATGTGGAGAACAAAGCCCTCTGATGCTACATTACCTATGCAGCCAAACACTACAAAGAGAACCACATGATCCTGTTGGCTCTGTTCGTCTCCTTTGAGCAGGTTCTTATTTAATAAGCATGGGACTGTCAATTTCCTTTTCAAAGAAATCAAACCGGCTGCCACACCGGGAGATGAAAGTCGATTCAGGCCTCATACCTGCTTCTCTGGGGGCTTCGCCTGCCTGTTTTGGGGTGGAGTGGCGGTGGGTGTGTTTGCTGTGGCCCTCCAAGCTGCCGGTGAGGTCAAGGGTGGATCCGATGCCGGACTCCCTGTCCTCCTCCAGAGGGACTGTAGGCTGTGAGGGAATCTGAGCAGCACCCATCCTGGACCCTGATAAGACTGAGAGTCCACAGTRAGAGGGGTGAGAAAGCACTTTGACCCAGAGAGATGGAGGTCAAACTTGACGTTGTACACGTAAAGCAGAATAAAAATGCTAAACATTTAAAGAAAAAAATTCTCCATTGCTTAGAATCAAGGTGCAAGAAAAGAATTAATGTGATTCAAAAGTCTCAAGACACCCCTTTATTTCAGAAATGAATACCGCGGCTTTGTCTGGAATAGCCGTCATATTGGACTCAAGTGTAATTTTATCAGTAGGAAGGTGGTCCTGTAGCATATCAGAGAATACAAGAATTGTCTCAGAAWTAGACTGCTGTAATCAGATGTCCAGTAACAGGTTATCAACACAGCCTGTGATGTACAACTATYACATGTTCATTGTGCTGTCCCTGGTGCTCAACATCATCCTCAGTTTCCAGTAATGAACAAAAGTTATTACCTTTCTGTGTTGATTCCACCAATTCATTTCTGAGACAATACTAGCCTTGTTTGATATGRTACATGACCCCCCACCCCACAACCCTCCCATCCTTTTGGAAAAATTAGACTGATCCAATATGGCCGCTTTTAAGACGGCAGCCATATTCRYGACATAGCCTAAAAGATGGGTTCTCTCAACCATTACTTGCTGGGGTTTTCATTTTCCTTTTTCTTTCTGGAAAAAACAGCATCCTAGAACTTGTGACTCACCCTAATATTTTATATGTATAAAAATGATCATCAGCCTTTTTACAACAGAGGGTAATCATGTAATGAACAACATTAGATGTCCGTTTACAACTGATTAATTAACCTAATTAACCTTAACCAACATATTTAAAGCCAATAATTTAGTCAGTTTTACAGATACGGAGTTAAAAAGGGACACAGTGGTAGCTTGGGGTCTTCCCCGATGTATACCATGAGTGGAATGGAGCAACACCTCTATTTAAACATTTGCCATGCAAGATGGCGGGTGATGGTGACTGATTGTGGCCCCATTCTTGAGTTGGTATCCGTAGCCAGTCTTGTTGATGATTTGGCTGAGGGGGTTCATAAATAAATGTAAAGTAGCAAATTTATTAATAATTCCAAAACAATACAAAAAAAACAACTTTTTAAAATTAAAAGTAAATTTACAGTCAGGTTTTCCGGTTTCAGATAAATTACAAAAACGTCAAATACAGAAAAGTCTCTAAGCTACAAGCYGCTGAGATAAATCAACCTAAATATTCAGATTTGTTTTCCTGGTATAACTCAGCTCTGTGCTCAGTCCAGAGGTCTCGACACTCGAACAGCAGGAGGACATATGGAGCTCTGAGAAGCTGTGTGGAGATGTGAAACTAATTAAAATCACAGGATGGCACCACTGTAGAAGTAACAGATGAGAGCTGAATGTGTTTATCAGCCACCTGCAGAAGGAAAAAAAAAAGGCAGCCGGCGGAGGCCATCGTGTCTGAATGTGAGCTCATGTCTCAGAGCATACACGTTTAGAGAAGGAAAGAAAAGCTTCCCAAGTTGTTGATAAGTGCAGCTATCTTGGATTTGAGGTCAGATTGCGCGCCTCAACTCCTCAACAAATGAAAGGGTAGTCAGSATCAGTAAGAAAACATCAGTCTCAGTGTGACTTCCTTCAAAGAGCTGTGACTTCATTCAAAGGTTTGCTCATTTTAAAGTGTCTGCTTTCCCCTCGTTTCACATCATTATCTGGGCTGAGTTTAGTCAAAGAGGGAATACTAATGTGTCTCTTAAAAGCAAAGAGGATGGAAGTAATTACAGCAGCTTAAATAACAGTAATTACAGTCGGAGCATCGTTAGTTTGTGTGCAGCATCCTCCTGCAGGTTCTGATCTGCAGAGACCCAGCTATACGTCACCGTGTGTGTGTGTGTGTGTGTGTGTGTGTGTGTGTGTGTGTGTGTGTGTGTGTG